GGTTTTATTGACCATTAATTTTATTAAACGAAATCTTAAAATATGTAATAAACCGTAAATTATTATCATCATAATCATAATCATAATCATAATCACGATTAATTTATAATAATAAAAATTATCATCATCATCATCATAATCATGAACGTTATTATTTTTTTATTTTTATTTTTTTTTCAATGCAATTTTTCATCCGACCCATTAAGAATTAATTAAATTCTTTTTGTTTAATGGGAGAAAAATTATTTAGGTCGAAAATTAATTTAATTACGTTGGGAAAAGAAAAAGGAAAAAAAAAAAAGCAGAACCTCTTTCAAAGGAAAATTTTCATCATCCAAAGTTTTCATTTTCATAAAAAAAAAAAAAAAAAAAAAAAGTAAAAAAACTTGTAGACAAAAACTTACATTATTAACAGCTCACGTTTTTTTCTTTTTTTCTTTTTTTTTTCATTTAATTAATCAATGGTAATTTATTAATTTAAAAAAAAAAAAAAAATTTCCCCCTCCCCTCCCCCCCTTTTCAACACAATTCGGTAATAATTTTTATTTTTAAAAAAATGAATTCGGTGACTTTTTTTTTAATGGCTTTTTTTCTTTTTTTTTTCTTTTAAATTTTTACGATTAAAAACAAAAAAAAAAAAAAATTTCAACTAATAACCATAAAAACAACGGGGGGTGGGGGTGGGGGTGGTGGGAGAAATAAAAAAGTTTAAAAAAGTTTAAAAAAGTTTTTTTTTTTTTTTTTATTCGGTTTTTTTATCAACTTTAATTTTAACTTTAAAGTATGTATCACACGTTTACTCCCGAAATACTAATAATAATAATTTTTTTAACGAAAATTTCGAGTGCAATTTCCCACCCACCCCCTTCTCCCCAAATAACAATCGTCGAATTTTATGTTTGTCGTTTTGAAAGACTACAACAACAACAACAACTCTTTTCTTTTTTTATTAAGCTCCCAATACTTTCGTTTTAAAATCGCGGAAAAAAAACCGGAGTGATTATCATTATTATATATATACATAAGTACATGAATAAACATAACAGAACATAAACATAAACATAAGAGAACTCATACTGTTAATTTTTTTACCGTTTCTTACCCCCTTTGCAACAAACAACCCGTGCACACGCGGAATAAAATATTAAAACAACCTGTAGATCCGACAAGTATTCGGTCAGTTTTTAAAAATGTCACTTACGACCGTCCCTTTCCGTTTCCTTCTTACAACCGTTAAAACCAAAAACAAACAAAAACGAAATTCAACGTGAAACGAGATCATGTCATCAATCGTTAATAACAAAATAACAATAATAATAATAATAATAATAATAAAATTATTTAATTAAAACCAACCTAAAATAAATTCGTTGATTTTATTTCGTCGTAAATCCGCGAAAAATGCATCTCGTTTTAACCATTTCTTTTTTTTTTCTCCCTCGTCCACGTATTTTTCTTTTTTTTTTTATTATTATTATTACAATTACAACATTTCAAAAGGAAAAACATTCGCGAAACGAACGAAAAATTTTCAAATTTTTCTTTTTTTACACGCGAGCGAACGAGAAAGACAGAGAGTGACAGAGAGAGAGACAGAGAGAGAGAGATAGAGAGGAGAACGAAAAAAAAACGGCAACGATTTTTTTTTTAAAAAAACCTCTACGAAAATATATATAAAAAAATATTTAAAAAAAAAAAAAAAAAAACGCTATCGATTTTTTCGAGTGGCCATGTTTATGTGTCAAAAACAGTCGGTGAATTTTTCATGTTCCCGCACGACCGTGTTTCGCATTGAATAAATTATACAAACTCCCAGTGAATTAAATAAATAAAAAACAAACGAACGAAACAAAAACAAAAAAAAAAAAAAAAAAAAAAACACACACCCTTAATCGAACGCGCCACGACACCTTGTCCGAACCATTATACGATGACGGCAAAACTGATTCTAAACTTAAACATAAAGAAAAAAAAAAAAAAAGAATCCAAAGCGCATGACGTTGATCCTCGGAAAAATTTATATATATATATATATTTTGTGAAACTAACAAACAACCGATTAAGTTAACTTAACTCTCTTTTTCTCTCTACCATTCCCAATAATCATTCATCAACAAACTCTCTCTCTCTCTCTCTCCCTCTCTCTCTTTTCGAATTCGTTCACAATTAATAAATATTCATTTTCGAAACGAGAACATTAAAAACACGTCCGCCATTTAAAAAAAAAACGCGCACGAGTCGAAAAATGTGCGTCCGTGTGTTTGTGTTTCTCGAAGCTTCTATTTTACACGCAATAACGTATCCCTTAAAGCGACGACGAAAATTCAAAATAACCGTTTACGATTACCATCATTACTATCATTATTATTATTATCTTTTTAACAGCCGTTTCCCGAACCTGATATTTTTAAATTTTAAAATTATACGTTGTTTAAAAATGTTTTTATGCTCGAGGGGGAAAAAAAAAAAACAATTTTCAAATAATTTGGAAAATGTAATAAAATTAATTTTTACGGATTGATGGGAGGGAAGGGTAGGGGGAAGGGAAGGGAATAAAAATGGCGGATACACCCTAATCAAATGGGAGACATTCACAATTAAAAAAATTATTTTGTCTACGTTTGAAACGGTCATGAAAAAAAAAAAAAAAAGGTTAATACACTTCATTTAAAAAAAAAAAAAGAAAAAGAAAAACTAACGTCGTAATCCTCATTCGTTTCCCTCCAAAATCTTATTTCCCAAATAATCCAAATCCCTCACGTTCATTTTTTTCGTACAAATTTTTTTTTTAACGAAGCAACAGCAGTAGACGAAAAAAAATTTTTTTTTTTTTTTTTAAATTCGTTGCTATTTCCAATTGAAAAAAAAGAAAATTTCTTACTCATCATTTCATTTCATTTCACGTTTATTTTTTTTTTTAAACTTTGGTAAAAATAGTTAATAATAATAATAATAATTCCCCTCGTATTTTTTTTTTGTATCATTATTATTATTAATACTACGTTTTTTTTAATAAAAAAAAAAAAACGCTTTGTTAAAAATTTAAACCAGACAAACAACAACAACGACTGCAACAAACAACTTTTGAAAATTTTTTTTTTATTTTAAAAAATTCATTTTCTTTTTTTTTTTTTTTTTAAATTCATTCAAAAATAAAAATAAAAAAAAATTGCTTTTATTATTATTATTATTTTTACTCGTTTTTGCCGCCGCCGCCGCCGCCGCTACCGCCTTTTACTTCCGCTTTTGGCAATGGAAAAAACATAATGAAAAATTAACAAGTTTAAACTCTGGCTTTTTATTTCGTTGAGTATAAAATAAAACCTCTCCCGCCCTCCCCCCCCCAAAAAAAAATAAAAAATAATAAAAAAATAAGTAAGTAAATACACGTGTACGTAGACAAACAAAACAAACAAACAAACAAACAAAAAAAAAATTTTTCCAAAGAAACAAGGGTGAGTATTAATTAAAATTCCAGTCGGATGGAGAATATTAATGGAGAAAAACAAAAAAAAAAAAAATTAATTTTCACGATTTACTTTAAAAGGTAGTAGAAAGAAGAAGAAGATGAAGAAGATGAAGAAGAAGAAGATGAAAATGAAGACGAAGAAGAAGAAGATGAAGAAGAAGAAGAAAATGGTCTCGATTCAAAAAAATCAATCTATTTTATTATAATAATTTTTTTTTCTTTTTTTTTTTTTTCGTAATTAAATTTCACTCTTCCTTTAATAATAATGATGATGATGATAATAATAATGACGACTATTTTAATTTCAATAATTTTCCGGAAGAGAGAGAGAGAGAGTTTTTTTCTTTTTTCCCGTAATAAATAACCGCCGCCCTTTTTCGACAAAATAATTTTTTAATTAATATGTGCAAACGATTCGTGAATAAAAAATAATTAAATATACACCACGCGCAAAAAAAATAAATAATAATAATAATAATAATAATAATAATAATAAACGGAAAATAATTTTTTTTGATTTTCCCGAGGTTAAACACGTTCGTTCGTTCGTTCGACGTTTAAAGCACATCCCGAAACCGTGTAAAAAACGTTTTTACTTTCATTTTTCTTTCGTTTTAATTTTTCCTTTCATATAAGAAAAAATAATAATAATAATAATAATAATAAAACCCGTATAATTTTTCAAAGCGAACAGCAATAAAAAAAAAAAAAATTTTCTTTATTACGAAAGGTTTTGCAAAGGAAAACGCACACGCACACACACACACACACACACACGAACGTAATCGCGTTTATTTTACTTTCCCCGACCCCCCTCCCACCTACCCCTTGCCTCATATTCACCCCAAGTGTATTTTCCAAATTTTTTTTTTTTTATTTTTAAAATGTAAAATTATTTAAAATGGCTGTGAGCGGAGGTAGAAGAGTTACGTCGATGCGGAAGCATATTTTCGACTTGCAAATTTTTAAAAGCTTTCCATCATGAATAAAAAATTTCCACACGACTCTTTGCCCCCCTCTACCTCTTTAACTTGAGTGCATATGAAACGAATAAAAAAAAAATAATAATAATAAAAAAAGAAAAAAGAAAAAAAATTAAATGTTTCACCACATTGTTCTTGGTAAAAAAAAAAAAATTTTAAATAAAAAAATTAACGAACGAAAAAATTATTCATACATAAATGTACATAAAATTTCTTTCGCGAGTCGTCTTTTCCACGAACTCGCCTCATTAAATATTAATTTAAAATAATAAAATGAAATACGTTCGATATAAATTTTATAATGCCGGATGTAAAAGAAAAAAAAAAGAAAATCGAAATGAAAATTTTTTTTTTTTAAATGGTCGACTTTTCTTTTTTTTTCCAACCGCAATCAAAACCTTTTTTCCTTATAATGAAAACATTTCATATACACCCACGCGTTTTAATATTACTCGAGTGTTTCTTACATGTAGTAGGAAATCAAATCTTTTAGCTTTTACTCTGCGCATTCAAAAATTATTTACACATAACTTAATAAATTCACTTACCTTCCGGCAATACCCATATTTTGAATATCCTGTACGAAAATCCCAAGTTCTCCCTTTTCTTCGCTTCGAAGACCGACCACACTAAATCCCAAACTGCTTCCTTCCGGTTTAAAAAGCTGGAAGACAAAATTTAAAATTGTAAATTTAGTTAGATAGTTAAATAAATATCAAAACGACATTATGTATGTATTTAGTATTTTTTTTTGTTATTAAAATAAAAAATTATTTACCTGAACGTTGATAATATCGCGACCGCGAGATGATTCTTCAATAGCTTTCTGAAATTCTATAGCGTAGGTTTGAGTTGTAATGGGGGGTAAAGTTCCATTTGTTGTGCTAGGGGTTTCAAGCTAAAAAGAAAAAGAAACGTTCTTGATTTAAAATCATTTTCAAACAATCACGTTTATGTAAAATTGTAGACACACGTGATTCGAGTGTCACGTTTTTTTTACATTTTTAAGAGATGATTTAAAATATATTTTCAAATCAATAAATTTAAATTTAATAGACATCATTTTACAATAATAAAAATATTTTTAAAAGTTAAACTGATTTAAGCATTTTTCTCTCTATTTAATATATACAGCAACTTTAAGTTGAATTATGCACATAATTGAATATTTTCATAAACTATAGTTTTCATTGTTAAAAAAACCCTTCATTGTATTTTACTCCAAATCTAATCTTCAAAATTAAAAATGATATTATAAATCGAATATTTTGTTAAAGCTAAAAATTACTATAATTATCAATCATAAATTTGTGCATGGTTAAAAATAAAGTACAACAAACAAGTAAACTATAATTAAACAAAATTTGAATCATGCTTAAAATTTACCTGAGGAGAAGTGGAAGTATCTGTAGATGAACTATTGGATAATTTAGCAATTGGAACTGTCTGATCATCATATTGTTGCCTGGCAACAAATTTCGAATCAAATTGGGAATCGTACATTTCGTCTGGAGGTACCACATTTAACGATAGTTCTCCAGATGGTGTAACATACAAATCGACAGGTAATATCGAAGGATGCTGTTGAAGTTGTTGATTCAATTCTCCCAATGAATCCTAAATTAAAAATTAATATTAATTAGAACAAAATTTAAATAAAAAATTTTTTTCTTTAATTATAATGTTTAAGTTTATAGATCTATATATTTTATTATTTTAATGGGATAACTATAAACTCACCTCGATAGAAACTATACTTCTTAGAATAGGATTACTAAATACTGATATGAGCATGTTAATGTCTTCTGCAGTTTGCATTTGGAGTTGAACATCATCAGTATTATTGATAGTTTGCTGGATATGCTCAAGCATGTGAAGAGCACTTGAACAATCTTTACTGAAGGACATTTTTCCTTGTTTATTTATCATTTTCAAATTTACATTCAATTTCATAAAAATTATTCTTGCAAGTTTTTAACTGAAAGCAAAGAAAAAAAATAAAATTGAGTAAAATAACTTTATGCAATTTAGTTTATGTATTAATTTTTTATTTAATTTTAAAGACTTTTACGTAAAGTATTTAAAATTTTATAATCATTTAATAAATTTAATAATAAATTTAATTAAATTATTTAAAATTAAAAAAATGTACAAATGAATTAATTTTTAAACGAAATTTGGTGTGGTACAAATTTTGAGTGCAAATTAAAAGTTCAAGAATACTTACAAAAATTATTCCATTAACGATTTGTTTTCAGTATAAACCCGTACAAAATAGTATTGATTTTATTTACCTAAATTTTAATTTATTTAACTAAATACCATTAAATTTCATTTTATTTACCTGATATTTTTGTTTTATTGACCATTTTCACTGAGAATATGGCGGAGTGTCCATGTGTGAATGACCTTTAACTTATTTAAATACCTTTTAAACTTGAAAAAACATTAAAACTTAATAACATTAAATAAAAATAAATGTTATCAATGACCTCATTCCTATAAATTTGAGCAAATATATTTTTATTTCCTTTATCGAAAATAATTTTTCACAATATTTACATTGCAGCCCTGTATGTACAATTTGCGGGCTAAACCTCTCAAAGGAACGGTTTCCTTTGTAATATCGACGAATGGGATTATTGTAAGTGTCAAAGGAGTAAGTTGGGCACACTGAAATTTCTTTAAAGTTGTCAATTCAGAGAAGCTTATATATTGTGAATCTTTTTATAAAAATTTCCTGTTAAATACATTATGGCTGAAGGTAAAAGGTAAGAAATTTTTTTAAAGTCAAATCAGTTATTAAATTTTTCAGGTTCGTATAATATCTTATAACGTACTTTCTGAAATATGATCGGGAATTGATAGCTTCGTTCGAATTGTTCAATTGTACGTTGTCATCATGTCGTGGTGTGTAGTCACTGATAATTTTTTCAAAGATAGATTTTTATATTTCTACGAAATTGTTTTTCTCATCTTCATTTCTAAACTTGCAAAACCTTTAAAATCTTTAAATAAATTAATTGTAACATTATTTTTAATTTCGTCAATAAATCTTACTCATTACTAAAGGAGTACGTTTTATGCTGAGACAAAAAAAGTTCCGATTCTTTTGTGCCTAAAATTTACTGTATATTACAATTATAAGTTTCATTATTAATCTTGAGTATTATTTAAAATTAATGTTCAATGAATTTTAATTTTTTTTTTTATTATTGCGTAAGATTTAAAAAAGAGCTAAATTTTTTCTGTGGAAAATAAATTTGAAGAATAAAATTTTAGAATTAATCATTCAAATTCCAATTAAAATCGATTTTTTAAATTTCATATCAAATAAAAACTTAATTTTTCTACCACAAAATATTAATATAAAGCAATTACAAGTCCTGATGGTATTTTTTATGTTACAGTCCTGATGATTTGGCAACAGCTATTCTTCGTAAAAAAGAACACCCCAATAGACTTTTGGTAGAAGAAGCTATCAATGATGACAACTCAGTGGTTGGCTTATCTCAAGCCAAAATGGATGAATTAGAGCTCTTTCGCGGAGATACAGTACTACTTAAAGGAAAACGCCACAGAAAAACTGTTTGCATTGTACTATCAGATGATACTTGCTCTGATGAAAAAATTCGAATGAACAGAGTTGTTCGTAACAATCTTCGAGTTAGAATAGCAGATGTTGTTTCTATTCAGTCATGCCCTGAAGTGAAATATGGAGTTCGTATTCATGTATTGCCCATAGATGATACTGTTGAGGGCTTAACTGGAAACTTGTTTGAAGTTTTCCTCAAACCATACTTTTTAGAGGCATATAGACCAATCCATAAAAATGATGTTTTTATTGTAAGAGGAAAAATGAGAGCCGTCGAATTTAAAGTTGTTGAAACCGATCCTCAACCCTATTGCATCGTAGCACCAGATACCGTCATTCATAGCGAAGGAGATCCCATAAAGCGAGAAGAAGAAGAAGAAGCTTCTAATGCTGTCGGCTACGACGATATCGGGGGTTGTAGAAAACAACTCGCACAAATAAAAGAAATGGTTGAGCTTCCTTTAAGACACCCAAGTTTGTTTAAGGCCATCGGAGTGAAACCTCCGCGAGGTATACTTCTTTACGGTCCCCCAGGTACCGGTAAAACTTTAATTGCAAGGGCCGTGGCCAATGAAACTGGTGCATTTTTCTTTTTGATAAACGGTCCCGAAATTATGAGTAAATTGGCTGGAGAGTCTGAGAGTAATTTAAGAAAAGCATTTGAAGAAGCCGATAAAAATTCTCCCGCTATAATTTTCATTGATGAATTGGACGCTATTGCCCCGAAAAGAGAAAAAACTCACGGAGAAGTAGAGAGAAGGATAGTATCGCAACTTCTCACTCTGATGGATGGAATGAAAAAAAGCTCTCACGTCATCGTAATGGCGGCAACAAATCGACCGAATTCAATCGATGTGGCCTTAAGACGTTTTGGCCGTTTTGATCGAGAAATAGATATTGGCATACCGGATGCTACAGGGCGATTAGAAATTTTGCGCATTCATACAAAGAACATGAAACTAGCTGACGATGTGGATTTGGAACAAATTGCTGCGGAAACTCATGGTCACGTTGGAGCCGATTTGGCATCATTGTGCTCGGAATCCGCCCTTCAGCAAATTAGAGAAAAAATGGATCTAATAGATTTAGAAGATGATCAAATTGATGCACAAGTCCTTGATTCTTTAGCTGTTACTATGGAAAATTTCAGGGTAATGAAATAACATTTTTAAGTTTTAATTATTTTCACGTTCTTCTTCTTCTTCTTCTTGTATTTAATTGTTTTTTCCATCATTGTAGTATGCTATGGGTAAAAGTACACCCAGTGCATTGCGAGAAACTGTTGTGGAAGTTCCAAATATTACATGGGACGACATTGGAGGTCTTCAAAATGTCAAAAGAGAGTTACAAGAGCTTGTTCAGTATCCAGTTGAACATCCAGATAAGTTTCTTAAATTTGGAATGCAACCTAGCAGAGGTGTTTTGTTTTACGGTCCTCCCGGTTGTGGTAAAACTTTATTGGCCAAAGCTATCGCCAATGAATGTCAAGCAAATTTCATTTCCGTAAAGGGACCTGGTTAGTAACGAGTTTGCAACTATGCTGCCCCTACTGAATTTGAAACTTTATACGGACGGGAAAAAAAATTTTTTTTTCAGAATTATTAACTATGTGGTTCGGAGAGTCTGAGGCCAACGTGAGAGACGTTTTCGATAAAGCTCGCTCGGCTGCTCCTTGCGTATTGTTCTTCGACGAACTTGATTCTATAGCAAAATCTAGAGGCGGTAGTTTAGGAGATGCAGGTGGTGCTGCAGACAGAGTAATTAATCAAATTCTAACGGAAATGGATGGTATGGGAGCCAAGAAAAATGTTTTTATTATCGGAGCTACAAATAGACCGGGTAATTATTTAAACCGTTAGTCGCTAAGTGAAAAAAAAAAAAACGTGGATTACTATTTGTTTTTCTTTTTTTTTTTTTTTCTGTTTTCAGATATAATTGATCCGGCAATTTTACGTCCTGGGCGATTAGACCAATTGATTTACATTCCTCTGCCCGACGAGAAATCTAGAGAAGCAATTTTCAAAGCAAACTTAAGAAAATCACCTATCGCCAAAGATGTTGATTTGGGGTAAAAAAAAATTTTTTTTTTTTCGGAATAAGATTTTCGATCGATACTGACTGTTGTTGTAATAATAATAATAAATTTTTTTTTTCGCAATTTAGTTACATCGCCAAAGTAACTCACGGTTTCTCAGGTGCCGACATAACTGAAGTATGCCAGCGTGCTTGTAAATTAGCCATTCGTCAGTCGATCGAGGCTGAAATAAGTAGAGAAAGAGAACGTACTATGAATCCTAATTCAGCAGCTATGGAGGTAATTATAAAGACATTAAGAAAATATCAATTATTTACCCAGATGATAAAAAAAAAATTTTTTTTTGTAATATTTCACAAGAGATAAAGAAGGAATTAAAAGCTTAAAAGCTTCATTTTTAATTGCATGACATTTTTTTTTTTTTTTATCTCACACAGACAGATGAAGATGATCCAGTTCCGGAAATAACAAAAGCTCATTTTGAAGAAGCAATGAGATATGCTAGACGATCAGTATCAGATAATGACATTCGAAAATATGAAATGTTCGCCCAGACATTACAACAATCTAGGGGGTTCGGTACCAATTTTAGGTAAGCAAACAAAATCATTGATGATAAAAGTTTATTGTTTCTTTTTTTGTAAATTAAACGATTTAACTTTTTTAAAAAAAAAAAAAATTTCAGATTTCCTACTGCTGCAAATAATAATCTTGGCCAGGGAACGGGAGGAGATCAAGCTGGAAACTTTCAAGACGACGGAGACGACGATTTATATAGTTAAGTGTATAATACATGGTGGGATTAGAGAAGAATTCAACATCCTTGAGTTGTAATTTTTTTTTTGTTCGTTGAGTTTGTGATATATTTTTAGTTTCATCAAATGGAAACCGTTTACCACCCATGTTTATACAAATGAAATAATTTGCTCGATCGCTTTAAAAACAAAAATAAGTTTATTTCATTAATAATTCATTTTAGTTTAGTAAAGATTTTTTGTTTCAATGATGAATAAATTTTTTTTCTCTTTATAAAATTCTTAAAAATATTCATTTTAATTTTTTTCTATATATAAAAAAATAATTATGTGTATACATTAACAAATGATTTGTTTTGTCAAAAACAATTATTTGAATACCGATCAAGCAACAAAAGTAAAAAAAAAAAAAAAAAAAAAAAAACATTGAATTGAATAAGGAGGACAAAGTTTAGATAATTAGAAAATGAAAAAAAAAAAATATTTCAGATTATTTGTGTTTAAGAATTTTATTAAGTAAAGTTAAGGTACTAAAAAGTAATAAATAAATAAAAAAGGTTTGAAATTTTCAATAATAAAATAATAAATTTTTTTTTTCTTTTTCTGTTTTTGTTCGAAAAATTATTCCTTTAAATCAACCACTGGAAATGATTTTACACAAAAACAATCGAACAAACTGATTATTTTCTATTAATGACTCAAGAAAAAATATATAAATAGTATTCAACATGTTTCCACAGTTATTTTATTACCTTTTGTTATTTAATAAAGACATTTTTTTTTTTTCTGTTTGTTTTTGAAACGTTTGTGTGTTTTGAACTGACTTAAATCCATACACACAACAAGGACTTGACATAAAATAATTAAATTTTATTCAAATTAATAATATGTTTTGCCTATGACAAATTGAAATGATTAATTAAAGTAATTAAAAACTTATTAACTATTACTATATTGAAAAACAATCCCCAAAACGAAAGGGAAGAGGGGGGGGATAGGGGATATCAATGATTCTATTTTAAAAAATTATTATTATTGTTATTGTTCGAATCATTTTTCATAATATTACATTACCTTAAACAAATTTTTAACGTAAATGAAACGTTATTATTGTAATTTACACAATTTAATTAATACGATAATGAGAATGAAAAAGAAAAAAAAAAAAAATTTTCTCTTTTGAAAGTTCGTTAAACTCATTTTCTTTTTTACTTACATGCACAATTTTATTCCCAAATTTTCTTTTCATTAACCGATAATATAATAATAATAACTTAATAGAATAAAAAATCGCGAATTTTAAATAAATTTCGAAATCAAATAACTGTTTTAATTATATAAAGAAAAAATTTTTAACGTATTTAATTGACGACGACGCCATGATGCGAGTTGCACAGTGTTGCGCAATTTTTCGCGCTTTCTACAGGTTTACGTTACTTTTTTTATGACGTCATTTTTGTATAATTGCGACAAAATAAATTTATCATATAAACGTTAAAAAAAAAAAAAAAGCTAACAAAACGAAATTCGAGTTCATTTTTTTTTTTTTTTTTAATGTGTGGGATGTTTTGCTTTCATTACTTTTTAGTCAATTTACAATAATGAGTAACTACATTTCATTTAAGACACAAAAATAATTACACATCAAAACGATGAGCCATTTTTTTAGTTATGAATGAAATTAATATAAAAATAATACGTTAAGTAATTATTAAATATGAAATATAATAATTCTAATTATAACTTAACGATAACAACGATAACATTATGTAATATAATTTTTTCGACGGTGAGTCATTATATACGTACTCGTACACCTTCGCTCGTAAAAAAAAAAAAATTTTCCGTTTTAATTAATTAATTAATTAAATTTCGATAAATATTGTACTCCACATTTAAATGTAAGCTTGTTAAAAAAACATTTTATTTTTAAATTCGTTACATTTTCGTAACAATGAGTAAATAAATAAATAAATAATAATAAACGAATCCGCATAAAACTTCCTGTCCTCCATTTTTTTCAATAGGCGGATGAATCAATTGATGACGTCATTAACATATATCACGCGCTTTTTAGGCTGCACTTGTCCGACGAATTGAACGTAATGAATGACTAATTCTGTCCAGTTTATATTTCGAACTTGAAAATAATGATAATAATAATAATAATTACATAGAGTTTTAAAATTAAAAATTTTGTCATTAATATACGTCACTCGTAAAATGATAATAATATTTTTTTTTTTATTTAAAGAGCAAGGTAAAGGTTTTTAAACCTTTACGTACGGGGGAGGGGAGAAAAACCGGAACATTTCCTATTTCGTCATAAATAAATAAATAATTCCGTAAGTTAAACAATGTTTTTTTTATCGATTGATAATAATAATATTCGAAACTTGGATTGAAATATTTATTAAAAAAAAAAAAACGACCAAAAAAAAAAAAAAGAAAAGAAAATTTCAAATAAATAATTCAACGAGATTAATTTAACGTAAATTTACCGGAAATCGTTTTTGATTTGAAAAAAAAAAAATTGTATTAACCGTCATTACCGAAAAAAAACGACCGTTGCTTTTAAAATGATTTATTTTTTTATGTTTACCTTATGGCAAAATCGATTTTTTATAAATTACAAGAATAAATACGAATTTAAAAAGGGCTGGTGTTTGCTTTACTATTATTATTATTATGAATTAAAGGTTCGGATTTCATGTTACAAAACCTTTAAGACCTTTTTTAGCAAACGTTTATAAAATTATAATTTTTTTTTTATTATTATTTACAATTCATTAAACCTCCATAATTTTATTAATCAAAATGTTATATGTTACAGATAATTAATTTACTTAATACGTTAATGCCATTTGAAACGACGACGACGACGACGACGATTATAAAATGAAAAGTAAACAAAATTAAAAGTAAAAAAAAAAAAAAAATTATCAAATATTTTTTTTTCCTCCTTCTCCTCTCTTAAACTTATTATACTTATCGTAAAAAGGTGTTAAATTACAAAAACGTTCATCACCTTTGACGGCGACATTATCAATTTCCATAAATGTTAAAAAAAATGTAAAGACTGGAATTACATTCAAAGTTATTTCATTACTAAACAATTTCCATAAACGTCATCATGTTAAAAAAATTTTTTTTTTAAAATGATACTTTTAAACAAACATTTTATTTAAAAAAAAAAAAAAAAAAAAAACGTTAATATTTATATACAATTTAAATAATCTCGTTGTATTTGATTAATAAAAAAAATATATGAGACTGATAAGAACTTAAAGAAGCATGATAGTGATGAACGGTAGCAGTAGAAAAATCGAAAGATTTTTTTAATTATTATTATCATTATATCAATTTAAAAATAAATTTTTATAATTTTTACAATAAGATATTTAATTTAACGGTAATTATTCGAATTTTACGCGTAAAAAAAATTTAATTAATGGTGCAATAATTATATTAAAAGATTTAAAACTTATTAAAATTATTCGCGGAGAAAATATTTAATCAAAAATATTTTCTGGAAAATATATATACATTAATTAAATTTTTTTATTAACTGCGTATTAATTGAGTTGTTTTTTTTTTTTTTTTTTTTTGAATTTTTTCGGACGCGCGTTCTCGAACGACTTAACGGTTTTTTCGTTTGTTTGTTACCTTTGAGGTTTTTTTTATATTTTAAATCCGTAATAAAAACAGTAAAAATAAAACTAAACTTAATAATAAATATACTTAATACATTTAACTTAATAATTAATAATAACGAATATTTTAAATAAAATCATCATTTTCCCCGTTTTTTTTTTTTTTTTTTTTTTTTCTAATTTCGAATGATCGACTCACGAATTTTTTTTTTTTTTTTTCGCGTTTTGCAAAAAAAAGTTGGCAAAACTGTTTCAAAAATACCTTTTTCCCCCTCGGAAGGCGTTGAACTACGTTTCGAATTTATTAATTGACCATTGCCACCTATTTTAATTTTATTTGTAACCCTTTTAATTTACGTTAAAATCAATTTTATTATTACGTCATTAAAAATGCATTATTATTTTTTTTTTTGGCAAATATACATTTGAATCACGATTAATTATGCAAAATATAAATAAAAAAATATATACGTATATTTAATTTTGTGAATGACAAATAATTGCAATTCAATTGCATCACATTTTGTAATTTTATTCATTTCTCCCGTATAAAAAAAAAAAAAAAAAAATGAAAAAATTCCCGCCATTTTTAAGAAAGAATGCTTACGGTCAATTCAGACACCTTTTTTCATGAATTTTTTCTTCTTTTTATTGTAAATATTATTTGTAACATTGAAAAAACCTTATTTAAAAAAAAAAAAATAGTTTTTTATTAAGGATTTTAAGTTGAAATTATTTTATGTGTGATTTAATATCAAAGAAGGACGTTAACTTTGTTATAAGATATTCATCGGACAATGTAACCGAAGGACAAAATTATATTTAACCGAGAGGATGTATTATTTTTTTTTTCATCTCATGTTTACCTTATGTAATATACGATTATGTATAATATATTCGAGGCGCTGTCTGGAGTGATACGAGCGTACTATTTATAATGACGCAACAAATCTCAACGCTGTTTCATTTTAGTTTTGTCAGTGCGAGTTAAAGGTTGTGTTAATTTTTCTAATTTTCAATTAAAACATATTGAATTTTATTTTTTATTTTTTTAAAAAATTTATTCTCTAAACAAAATGGCTAAAGGTAAGTTTCGTTTTATTTTATTTTAAAACCTTTCGAATATGAATTTTTTTTATAATTATTATATTTCAATAAGTAAATGAAATGATGAAATGGCCGAACATAAAATGCATTAATTTATTAAAAAAAAAAAAAAATGAGACGGAAATTCATTTTTTTAAATATTCGTTTCGTTTTAAATAAAAAATTTTGTATTGTAAAAAGAAAATGAAAAAAAAAAAAAATCGATTATCGTTGCAAAAACGGTTGCAAGAAAAAAGAAGAAAAAAATTCAAATTACCGGTAAAATATTTTGAATAGGGGGGGAAAAGGGTTTTTCCGTTTTTTTTTCCCCAAAAGTTTTTTTGTTTTTTCACGAAAATTAGTCGATAATTATATCAATGACACGTTAATTAAATATTTTTTAATTGAAATCAATCAAAAGGGGCAAATTTTTAAAAGAAAAAAAGGTAAAAAGAATGAGAGAGAGAGAGAGAGAAAAAGACCCGCCCGCCTTTCAATTCGTATGTGTTTAACGTATTCAACGAACAATTCGAATTAATTTCAAGTAAAAAAATTCGATATATCGACGACGACGACGAGAAATTTCGATAATTTTCGAGATTTTTAACAATCAAAAAAAAAAAAAAAGTGCATTTATTAACCAATCGGAAACTGTTAAGAAATGTCATATTTAATTTAGTGTGTATGAGTTAGATGAGTTGGCGGTGAGAATTTTTTTTTTTTTTTTTTTTATTCATTTCGTTCGGCGGTTAAGTCAGGTTTAAAAATAGCAAAAGCGGTTATTATTATTATTATTATCATCATTATTATTATTATAAGTTGATTTTGAGCGAGTCGAGTTTTACCACGTTTTTTGTTTTTTTTTTTTTCATGTCCGTCACGATTCGCGAATCCAACTTTGCGTAGAATCGTTAAAAAGTTTTCGATTTTTTTATGGAATGGGGGGAAGCACGGTTGGGGAGGTAGAAAAGGAGGAGGGAGGTCGTTTTAGCTCATTGTTTAGAAAAGAAAAAATTGTTAAGTCTCGGATGAAAATCCGAAAAGAAAAACTTCTTCGCGGAAGACTTGTCGACTTTGAAAGAATATATTAAAATGGCCTTGACCCCCCAAGAAATTCTTTTTAGTTTTATTAAGCCCAACGATGGGGAGTATATATATATATTTTAATTCGGGTTTCAAACCGGATACGTTTGCCTTGTGGGGATATTTTTTTTTTTTTTATATTTTGTTCCTTATATGAGAGAAACTGAAAAAAAAATTTTTTGGAAAAAGAGAGAGTGAGAAAGAGTGAGAGAGAAATGCCACGTTGTATTGCGTGTTGTTTTCCTTTCGATAACGTGGGAATTTCATTTATTTTTCAAAATTTATATTAAAAAATGAATAAGACAAAAAAAATGGAAGGGGGAGGGGGAAAAGAAAAAGTTTCCAGGATAGAATTTCCTTTTTCGGTTCGCTGAACTCTTTTTTTTTTCCTATCATTTATGTATAAATAAAAATTTTAACGTTCGATTCGGCTCAAGACGTCATAAAAAAAAAAAAAAAATTAAATTATTAGGTTTGCACGCATGTAAAGTTTACAACATTTGCATGTTAACACGCAGGTAGGAGAACTTTTTGGGGGACCGATAAGGAAACCTCATTTCCATCGTTTCGATTATTTACGCACAACAGAATTTTGACGACTGTTTTTTCCTTACCCCATTCAAACCCCCTTCCTCTTACCCCACTTCCTCCGCATAAAATCTTTAGGATGTAAAATTCATGTTATGCGTTCGTTTGAAATTTTAAATGCTACCATCATCATCATCATCAACTCAGGGGAATGAATCGCATTGTCTGAATTTAACAATTAAGTAAATTTACGATTTTTTTTTTACAACATTCCTACCCACTTACATACCCGTCCGTCATAAAAAATTGTACACGTCAAAGAGTAGGTGAAGCTGAGCGTAACACAACAACCATTAAATGTTCTCTGATTCATTTATTGCAAAAAAGGAAAAAAGAAAATGGCATCACAAAGTCGTTAAAAATAGATTGTAGGTTCTCGGACTCTTTTATTATTATTATCATTGGTTAGATTATTAAAATATGTAATTTTGATCGGATATCAAGCGCACAGATCACGAATAATTCCAGCAAGGCTGGAAAACAACACGAAATGATAAATGATGATTTTTGTTGTTGTTGTTGTTGTCACTAATGAATCTCGTAAAAATTTGCTTCGGTTTTATTGTAAAGGTCAGGTACGCATTTTTTTTTTTTTTTTTTTTTTTTTTTGCGTAAAGTTGGCAAGAAACTCATTTAGTTGAAACTTCCTAGAGGTCACACTTGGTTAAACGCTTTAAAGACTCTTTTGATATTATGTTAATTTTTTTTTTGTTTCAAAACATTTAGGAGGAGAAAATTCTCACGGGCGAAAATGGTGAATGGCGTGGAAAGGTTTTGGTGAGAAGTAAAAATTGGTGCGAAAGAAGGAAGGAAATGGCGTCGCGGAATGAAATTGAGGGAAAGCGTCGTTTCCGCTTTTGTTTTTTTTTTTTGTTTGTCTTTGCCATTTTATGGATCGTAGGTTTTCGAAACTGGTCACGGTCTAAAAAAAATTCCATCGTTTTATTTTTTTTTTTCATTTTGCAACAACGGGGGGGGGGGGAATTTGAAAACCTATACGCGCGCGGTGATTTGTTTAAAAAAATGGTGGTACTCGCATGCTTTAAAAAAAGAAAAAAAATTGTTTTTTTTGTATGTGTGGGATCGATAACCTCAATTTTGTGTGTGTGCGTGCGCGCGTAAGAAGTATTTTATTTTTTTTTGTTTTAAACAATGCCGCTTCATGACTTTTTACGTTCGTTTTATGTCTCGGCCATGTAAATTGTGTAAAATGTGGCATTTATTGGCATTTTAATTTTAATTTCAAGAAAACTCCGATACACGCCTTAAAAAGGGGGGGGGAGATGGAAGAACGGTGATGGCGCCATAAACGTATTTAATCTACTTAAAACAGATGTGTGCCTTGCCCGCCCCCCTTCCCCCCATCTTCGTCTATAGCTCCCCAAGTTTTTTTCAAATGCCATACAAGTCGTCGTCGTCGTCGTCGTCGTCGTTGTACCTTAATTATTCAACGGATTTTTTTAAAAATGGAAATTATCGCTTTTTTTTTTTT